TCCCCTCTCTTCGCCTGGTTCTCCGAGTCACCGGGTACCTGCATCGCCAGTACTGCCAGAACTGTCCGCTGCATCACTCCGGCAGTCCAGCGGATCCTATATCCCTCCATGTTAGACGCAGACTCTAAGAAAATAGACTCAGTACTTACCACCAGCGACTGTAATATTATTCCGATCACCACCAAATAGATTGATGTTCTGTTGAACCCATTCCAGGGCAAGCCGTTGGTCATGAAGACCGAGGTTGGGAACTCCACCAGCTGCCTCAAATTCCCGCCCTGCTAACCAGCCTAACCCGCCCAGCCGGTAGTTAATTGCGACATAGACAATGCCGTTGGATTCATCCTTCTGACTATTTAAGATAAGACGGGTGGGATCCCCGGGACTGCCATCGATCTTGTTGCCTGTGATATAAGCCCCTCCATGGATCCTTATTTCGTCAGACATAAACGCGATTGGATAAAAAGGGGCTCTTACCAAACTAATACTGGAGCTAAATGGTGACTATCACGATTTTGAAATGCCTTATTTGGTGTAATCACATCCAGAAAGAGACAGCCTTCGGTGGACTGGGTTGCATTAACATCGGGATCTCCAGGTTGGGAAGCGAGATCAGCCTCGGCCTGCCTCTTGGCCTCCTCATACTTAAAAGATGAAGCTTGGTGGTTCGAAAAAGCAGCCTGAAATTGAGATGTCACGCTGAACCAGCTAGGAAATCCTTGTGGGCAAACACGGTTCATGGTTCCGTCCTGTATACCCGACATTCGACCTTTGGGTGCAAGAGGAAGAGCCCAACGAAGATCTCCAACCGGTGGTTCGGCATAGCGAATGTTAGAAAAGGTGTAGATTTGGGTTGTCTCCTATACATTATTTATCAACAATTTAGAAAGGTTAAAGCTGGCAAGGATAATCACATTAAAGGACACGGCTCGGTGGACTTCGTACCCCAAATCTATCTTTGGTAGCTTGGAGGAATTACACTCAGCCACTGCCGGTGTCACCTGAAGAGCTGCCACTGCAGCTAAAAGAACGAGTAGATTTGCGTTCATCATACCCGGTTGGATATAGAAAGAATGGATGGTTTTGCTTCTCTCTAGAATTCAACAAGACAGAGAGCATGTTTAAATAGATCTCGCATAAAATTTGTTTGCTAATAATCGGACTTCGGTAACCTCTATGAGCTTCTATGTTACATATTATCTTGGTTAAAACAATTGGCATTTTGGAGATACGGCTAGCGTTGCGAGAGCTCTCGCAAATCATTCATACGGAGATATACCGAGTGCCGTCTTGGCTCCACTAGTATTTTTGGATTCTTGCCAAGTCAGCCCCCACAAAGCTCGTAACGCTAACCAGACTGGGTACAAAGTGGAAGTTGCCAAGAACTTGGTACTTCCGAGTATCAAGCAAAGGAAGCCCGCACTCATATACAGTGTTGGAGAAACTTTTGATGTATATAATAGCAATGCCAGTTCATACCCCCAAATTTCATCTCATTCTATTCCCATTTTCCCTGGTTTTCTACAACATGGCGCGCCTCGAATCCTATCATGGGTCTTTTATCTGGAACTATCTTCCGTCTTTCGTTGCCGGAATCGTGTTTGCGAGCTTGTTTGCAATTTGCTCTGTTATCAACTGTTGGCGAGTCACGCGAGAGTATAGAAAGCTTTGCTGCTGGTTTATCCTCGGAGGCTTTTGTGAGTTGATTTATCCACCCAACCCTCAGGCTTTGCTAATTGATTATTCGAAACATTAGTTGAAACAGCTGGCTTTGCTATCCGTGCCGTGGCCCATCATCGCAGCGGAGAAATCTGGCCGTACGTCGTCCAGACTCTCTTAATACTTTTTGCGCCAGCATTATTCGCCGCGTCTGTCTACGCTACTCTTGGGCGGACGATATCAAACCTCAAAGCGACATCCCTGTCTGCACTTCATCCCAGATGGATGACCATAATATTTGTGTCTGGTGACATTCTTTCGTTTTTTATTCAGGCTGTGGCAGGATCCATGCTATCCTCAACCAAAAGCAAGCAGTCCACTAAAGACACCGGAAAAGTTGTTATGATCCTGGGATTGGTGATTCAAGTCATATTTCTATCCGGGTTTTTTGTCGCAATTGCTATCTTTCATCAGCGGTGGCACCGAATGTTCGCCTCCAAAGACCTCAGTGAACATAATCGGCGTTCCATGCGGATTCTGTACTCGTTGTACGGGATGAGCGGACTGATTCTCGTTAGATCTGTTTTCCGTGTCATCGAGTATATCGAAGGCAATGATGGATATCTCCTGACCCATGAATGGCCGTTGTATGTGTTTGATGGCACTCCCATGATTCTAGTCATGGCTGTATTTATAGTTTGGCATCCTACTACCCAGGGAAACCTTGATGATATGTCGACACACAGTGCGCAGAGCATGCAGTGTCTCAATGGAACCTGCTAACTCTACGTCACTATCTGTTGTTGGCAGTCTATTCTGCTAAGCTGCTGTTCGCATAATCAAACCACTCGTGTCCTCGCCCATATCGACATACATATATAGGCCTTGGCAATTTAAATTCTAACCCCAGCCTGAATCTCAGGCTGAGAGCTCAATCGCATTGTATTTTAATATATCTGACTGTAATATCGAAGGACCAGCTTCCAGTTGGTGTCAAGCAAATGACATGAAGGAGTTGTCAACCACCCCTTTCTGTGTCACGATTACGAAAAACTACGCCTTTGAACAGAGGTAACTTGACAGGTTACTTTGGCGAATATGAGTATTTAAAGTATTGATAAGATGAATTTAAAGCATGTGGAGCGCGACATGGGGGAACAGCGGGACACCGCTGAGGCTAGGTGCTAAAACGGAACACGAGATTGGGATGGAACAAGATTGTCCAAGCACATCTGCTCTAGACCTGTTCAGGACTACATGCCTCCTATTCCGATCGCTGAAAGATAAACCCTACAGATATCCTCGACAGATTCTTTGTTGGACGATTGCCCCCAAGACGTCCCATTCGCCCCGATTACTTGCAAGTCCTCCTTCCCACTCCCAATCATTATCCAGCCGGGACCTCTTTCCGGATCCTTGGCAAAAGAAGCCCAAGAATGCTGCATGAATTTGCTCAATTCGATCTGCTGAGGTGTGGTCATGTAATTTCTCGGGTAGGTGCCAAAAACGAGAGAGATCTCAGATGTGTGCCAAGCGCCCGCTCCTAGGAAGGGCTGGGTGTTAGGGAAGCTTGCATTGAAGTAATACTGCCACACCTTATAATCGGTATCGCTGAGGACATTGGCGATTGCAGAAGTAGTACAAGTATAGAGATAGTCGGTGATAATGCGGGATTTTAGCTCTTTCTCGGTGGCGTCATGGGGGTACGCTGCACGAGCTAGGGCTTGGGAACGAGTGTCGTTACCAAAAATGTTCTAGAAAAGAAGCTGAGAGCCCGGAATAACCGACGTCAACACGGTTCCTTCGTCGGCGTTGGTGCCAAGAAGAATTGGCACATCGGCGACGGTGTGCGCGTTGATGGCGGCCTGAAAATTGCCGTTGTTGGTCTTGTTATCAACGGCTGGTGGGAAGCCGAGGGTACCGCCGTTGAGAATAGCTCTGATTTGATCAGCAGGAGAGGACCGCATACACTCGAGTTATGAGATTCCAGGCGTTGTCGAGTTACATCCTAGATCATCTGCCAAAGCTGTCCAAGACTTGTCGCCGTCACCTTGATCCCCCAAAGCCTGGCTTTGCATGATGGCAGCACGGAACTGTAATGGACGAGGAGGATTGGCGAGGAGCTGTTTCACGGAATAGCCCCCTGACGATTCCCCAAATATCGTCACTTTTGATGGATCGCCCCCAAAAGCTCGAATGTTTTGGGCTACCCAGGCGAGTGCTTGTCTTTGATCCATAAATCCGAGATTCCTTTATTCTAGGGCAATCTGTGGCGAGGCAGGGAAGCCAAATACTATCAACTATGTGTCAGTTTTGTCCTTCCCAGCCGGCCATAATATGGGAAAATCCCATTTGTTCTATAATTAATGGTCACAACAACAATATCATGCAGTGCTGCTATCACAGAGCCGTCGTATTCTGGGACGCTGGCGGACCCAAGCTGAAAGCTCCCACCGTGTATCCAAAACATGACTGGTTTATCGGCGCCTAGAACCGAGCCCTTCGGGGCAAATACATTGAGGTAGAGGCAATCTTCGCTCTCTGGTAAAGGCGGGTCGTTAAATATCTTCCTGAATTCGTCATCTGAACAAATATCAGTGAGATTCGGTAATAATCTTAGTAGAGTGCTAATACTCATAAATTGCTGAATACAAGCAGGCTTGAATTCTGTGGCGTTCAATGGCGAACTCCAAGGTAGGGGATTTTCAGGGGGCGAAAATCGGATGGGCGGAGACTGTGCAAACGGAATACCAAGGTATTTATTTACAGTCACTGTAGGTGATGATGGATGCGTAGTTGTGCCAACTATGGTACCGCTGGCTATGATAGCCGTGGGATATTCACCCTCGATTGCGCAATTAGGATAGGCGATGATGAGCGGAACCACCAGGCTGAGGGTTAATAGGGCAAATATGGGAAAGGCCATGATTGTTGAGGGAAGTTTTCAAATGGAATACAAGAGTACAGATTGGTAGAACTGAATCCCTTTAACTGTCCACGAAGGGGATGTGCTAAAAAAAAAGAAAGAAAAAAAGCAAACCGCTGCGGTCAACGGGTTAAGGACGTCTAACCTCTGACAAATTACTTTTGACTCTTTGAAAAGACAAATAAGGTCACTTGTCTCAAAAGTTCGGACAGTTGAAGCCGTCCGAGAAGGGAAAGCGTCGGAGAAGAGAAGAGTCCGAAGCATTTTCGGGGCTTCAGCAATTCGGAATGCAGGAGTTGTCCGAAACGTAAGTCCGAGGAAACTATCACTTGTTCTCCACAGGTTTCAAGAGACTGCACATCCAACTATTAAAAGCATCTATCAACTCCGAGTAAGTCTTCGAATACGCCCAATCTTCACTGTCCCGAAACTAAACTATTGCGCACTATAAATCAAAGAAAGCTCAACGTAAGTAGATTTGGCTTGATTTCTGGCTTTTAACAAATTCTATGCAATAGCAGATCCTTGTTTGAACTCTTGCTTATCTTCATCACTCTGAACTTCTAGCATGCTCGTCCTCGTTGCCGGTGTCACCGGTAATTTGGGCCAGAAACTAGTCTATAGCCTTATCAGTCGTGGGCACAAAGTTCGGGGTATCGGTCGAAACCCCTCCAAGATGGTCCCAGAGGCCTATAGCCTGCTAGAATCCTTCATTGAGAGTCCACTATTCTACGATGTCGCAGCTCTAGACCGTGCTTGTACAGGCGTCGATGCTGTCATCTGCGCTTATGGCATGCATCCACGTCTTCAACTCGATGGGCAACTGCTCCTTCTTCATGCAGCTGAGCGTGCTAGTGTCAAACTATTTATAGCTACGAGCTAGAATCATGATTAGCGGAACTTGGAGCTTGGAAAGCATGAGAGCTATGACGCATACGTTTCTTTCCGGCACCAGGTCGAGATGACCTCCGATATCAAGCCCATCTACGTCTTCAACGGAATATTTGCGGAAACCCTTTTTTCCTTCGCCGATCATGGCCATTTTGGACCCGACCAGCCGAACTTGTGGGACCCCAAAGAGGAGCGAATGAAAATCTGGGGAACTGGGCATGCTGTCTGGTACTGGACGACTGAGCAAGATGCAGCTGAATTCACGGCCGAAATACTACAGCGTGATGACGCCGTCGAAGGTGGCTTTTGGAACGTTTGTTCGGGAGCGAATTCTTTGATCGAAATCGCCCAAATTTACGAGCAGAGCCAGGGAAGAAAGGTCACTCTTGATATCATGGGGAGCGTGGAAGACCTGTGCGCGAAGGCACTGAGTGCCCGAGAACAAGGATACAAAAGTCACTTTGAGCGCTATATCGGATGGTTTTACCAACTCCACGCCATAGATGGAACTTGGACTTTCCCGAAGCTCGACAACGATAAGCTGAAAGCCAAGACCACGTCCTTAGAAGAGTTCTGGGCGAATCACCCAGAAATTTAGACATACCGCCAGGAAAATTGGTATGACATATCAGCAGCCAAAAGATAACCTTTGTAGCACATACAAATTGGGTATTTTTGAGACTCCAATATCCAACAATGAAGTGTCTAGATAACGTATCTGGTGAAACAACCATCTCCAAAACACATAGTAAATGTGATAGATCTAGACTTAATATCACAACAACGATTATCCATATCAAAGGTTCCCTAAAGCTGACAGCTTTTTTTATCATATCTATCTACTGTTGAGGATTTTGGGATTTAATCTTTCTCATGAATAAGATATATATATACTTAGAATCTAGAGACGTCTTTTTCATGACAACAACTCGAGTCTTAGATTTCTTCAAAATTGATATATACTACTAAAAACGCTTATCAATTCTTATCTACGAACAGTGGAAATTGAATCAAGATATGGTGGTTGAGATACAAAGTCGTAATCTATCGCATTTACTATGCGTTTTGGAGATGGTGATTGGCTTACAGGAGCGGCTCGTTAGCCCAAATCTTAACTGTAATAGTAGGATTGTAACTGCGTTTTTGGTACCTTTTGACAGAAATGTGGTACTATTCAGTGGTATGTAAATCTCCGAGCTAGAATGACCAAACGAATTCCAATAGACATGTTGGCCAATAATAATACAATATGTACGCCCTTTGTTGTAGTATTCTTGTTTTCACGGCTATATGATTCTAGGTAAATAGCCCATTCGATGTATATATCCAATCCTTCATTTCCGACACCTTTCGATATTCTAGCCCTCGAAGCTTGAACTTACCACTTAGTATTAATTAGCGGAATCTAACGGATGAGGCTAACTAATCACAGCCCCATAATACCCACGCCACTCTCGGTCACAGCGGAAATAAACCTTTGGTATTTCCATTTTAGTTCGGAACTCAATCCTGAAGGAAGTTAGCTTCGGAACGTCGGAAGGCTTGGCATCCGACATAACCTGTAGATTTCTTTTGTCTGAACTGGTTTTTCCATTAGAATTGTATGATTCTTCTGGTTCCTGCATTCGAAACATTCCTCTCTATCACTTCTATGCTCGGGGCGTGTCTTGTCCGAAATGTCGGAGCCGCGGCCATCGGTTGAAGGAGCATTGGCTGTACGTCTTCCGGCTCCAAACTTGTGCGTGTCTTGTCGTTAACCATTGATGATAGTGTGACCTATGCTTTGCTAGAAAGGTATTACTCTATTTGGAATGTAATATCTTGTGTACTAACAAAAATTCTATCGTAGGTCAAATGTGATCGTGGTAACCCATGCGGCAAAGAAGAGTGACAATGAGAGTCCCAAGGACTCACCCGATTCAAAAAGAATAACCCCCCAGCCATGTGCCCAAAACAAGCTTTGCAAAGCATGAATGCCAGACCCAGCCAAATCATGAATAGAAAGAAATCTCAGTAAAACCCATCGAGCGTCCGTGGATGTTCACTAAGCGTCTTTAAAGAAACCGAAATTCACGCAGCATGCAGGAAAGGCACCACAAAATCCGCCCACTGCACAACCCGCTCCTCATCCTTCGTACGAGGCTACTGACGGAATATAATCGTCCCACTCCCCCCAGCCTTCATATTAACAAAATTCCACGCAAAAATACCGCGACCCGTTATCATTCATCGTATTGATTATCTGCGGTATTGTATGACACCGACTGATAATAGCCAAACACTCCCGCGGATTCTTATCCTTGAGTGCCACGCTGCCTCATCGGCTGCCTACCATGAGGTCGTTCTCGACTCGGTGACGAGGTGCCAGACTCTCGATCATAGACTCAAAGTAGATTATGTTCCGTCAGGGCTCTTTGACGGCCCAGATCCCCAATGCGCCTCGCCCGGGTGTGATATGGATGTACATGCCGCAGGTTTCGTTGGTCTCAATCTCGCATACGGTACTCAGGACTTCGAAGAGTCTTCGCGCCAGCGACTTGTTGGGCTATAGTGGAAGATTGGAGATATGAGTTCGAGGGGGACTGGTTGCTCTAAGTTAATGAATTCAGTGGTGATAGGATGGAGGTGAGGGTCTTTCAGCTTCTCGTCAAAGCGGAAGACCATGTTGATTGGCATCAGCAAGAGCTGGACCTTGATTCCGATTCTATATGAAGGGTTCATCTTGAGGCGATACTTGCTAGTGGGGGATAACATGGCTATCCAGGAGGACCGAGGTGAGATGAGAAGTTGGGGATTGAAGTCGGACTGGAAATTGAGTTATCGCTCACTGAATAATGTCGATGGGAGGAAGCGGAACGGGAACATGAGGAAGCACTGAAAGGACGACTGAGATCCCTCGGGCCACGGCATAAATGAATTGGGGTCTCTTACCATTAGCTTGCACGACTACTGCATAGACGCGGTCTAGATTGTGGGGAAGTAGGCGCAATACGTTGGAGATATTTGAGAGTGACCCTAGCAAACCCGGTCTTGTGCCACGGTCGAATTTCCTTTTGGCGCTGATTCTTGCAAGGATTGCGGATCAAACGGGAAGTATGGCTGTCGCGGAAGAAAGCCAGAGACACCATGAGAAGGCATTATTTCTTGTTAAGCAGGAACACCTCTTCATCTGTATGCGCAGGGTTTATTTTTGCAACAAGGAAACAATGTGATATTTCCCTATGGTACCTACCTGGCAGGTAACTTTATAACGTCGCTTCAGCGCCTGGGCATCATCCATATCGACAAGCTTAGAATATACAAGTCCTCTCTGGTTGTTTGAGGATAATCAGAATAATGATGATAATCTCGTTTTGGCCTAAGGTAATGCTGGTGATCAATCGCTCAACTAGCGAGAAAGTGCCAGTTACCAATCCTTAGGATGAGTGGGGTCAGAAATAAATTAGAACAAAATCACTAACCGGAGACTCACCAGTTTGAGCCTGCACACTTTCCGAGCGCCATGCGGTCTTGGCCTCGTATATGTAAGACCTGAGATGCACTACCTATCGGCTATACTTGCACTAGCAGCAACGAGACCTTGAGAAGCAGTAAGAGGCTTTCTATCACGTCACATGCTGGTGGCACAACTAGTGGCTTGGTCTCTGAAGCATGTATACCATTTTCTTTGTTGGCAAAAGAATAGGTTCCTGCTCGGCGGAGTAGAACTCACCTTTCTCAAGGCCGTTTCTCGAAGTAAGAACTTCTTTTGCAAGTACCAAAAAAGCCTTCGAATGGTTTGTGTCAGGTATTCTTTTCTCGTTTTGTGCAATCCGCATTATGCATGCCGAAAGTGGACCGTATGCTATGTCTCAGCAGGACCAGAATCAGTATACGGGTATAACAGCCGACATTTCATAAATGCACGATAGGTGAAGATCTTTCTATCTACCCATGCTCAATAATCGTGATCATGATCTTAATCGGGCGTCATTGCAGATGAGAGTGCAGAAAGAATCACACAATCCATGCAGACTCGCTAAAATTGACTATTTTGCTCGGTGAAATCCTATATCTCGATAATGTCAGACCATTTGGTGGGATTATACCCCGCAATGATTCATGGAGATGCATGGATGAGAACGATGTTTTTGATGTTCTTTCTAATTGAACGACTACTATAAGAGCCTCCTCTTCTCCGCTTCAACAAGTAATTCAACATAATCTTCTCTTTCACTTACCTTGTCCTCAATATCCAAATATGCATCTCCCACTACTCTCTATCCTCACTCTTGCGCCCGCGGTGATTGCGGTTGTCGTCGATACGCCAACTGTGAAATCGCGTCGGAATTGGGACGTGACATGGAGACTCGACACGCCAAAAATTGGCCTCACTCTTACGCGAGACTTCAAAACTTTTGAGTGGATTGATCTCGTTGATGCCGAGCCGGAGAAGGCTAGTGTTAGATTGCCGAGAGACGTGAATCTTCAGCCAGGGTAAAAATGATCACCTGCTTGAATGAGAGTGATACTGATCTGGCTTGCGCAGTGATGTTTGGTTGGTCGCATGGACTAGTCATGGTACAGGACCAATTGGATATAGTGAGAAATTCACAATCAAATAAGCATTGTTTATATATACGGAGGGTTGGTGAAGGGGTTTCGATAAACTTCATTGTATCGGCCTTCGAGACCTGAAACTAGTAAATGATCTTCAAATGAGATTGACTTCAGGGTGTTCTCTGCATTCGTTATACAAGATTGTTTAACGTAAGTGTCAGAGGCTGTGATTCCCACTTTCAACAGTAGCAGGGGCCGGTTAGTATTCTTACCTAGGTAGGACTCATCCATGTGTTCAATAATCCCTGGGCTGCTGGGTAGTACGCTACGAAGTGGACATGGGTCCATGTTTTGTGAAATTCTGGTAGGGATATCCAAATAAGGGGCTTTGGTATATCGCGATCATATTCTCAGTGGTACATGCACGGTATGCTTGTCGAGGAATTCGCGGGTCGACAAGGATGTTGCGCTCGGGGATGTGGGTGCTGTCTGAAACGCAAAAGGATCCTGCCACGAAGTCTTAGTCTTGGAAATTGTACGCTCAAATGTGCATGTTGTCTGAGGGCTAGAGGCTTTAAAGTTTCCCCTGCCGATAACCATAAGAAACTGTTGAAAGAACAGTTTGAAAACGCTACAGTATAGCCAGATACCGACAGGTTTTAATCGGGGCGTTGTGGGTGATAACAGGATTGATGCGCCGCCGAGATACGATCATATTGAAAAAAAGGAACAAAGGGACTGCTTGATTCGGTCCAAACTAAGGTGTGAGGTTGTAAACCAAGTGCCGGTGGTTATTGTGGTTGTCTCTTCTTTTTCGTTTGGGACTTATTATTTTGCTTGCAACTTCTGTACACGATTGTTTCGTACTATTGTTAACGACGGTGTATAGCGCTCGTCGTCGGAGAGGTGATGAACCAGATCATTGAAATACTACCTACTACCTAGGTATCCATGAAGTATTATTAGTGACACTTGAACAGAGCTTATTCGTCTTTCTCTAAAAGTTGATGCTTTCTATGTCTTTATAATAGCGATTAGAATGCCATTCAGCCGGACAGTTTCGCATTCCGATCTCTTGATCCTGACAGTCTTAGAGATACAAGGTTCCACCAAGCGTCGTTACCACATCTGGGCTAGATTGCACAGCCCTTTTGCAGCCCTAGAACCAAGACTTAATTGCGTTCTTCTAAGCAATTTTTCGTATTCAGTTGTCCGCGAAAGTGATATGTAGCCTTCGATGATCTGGGAACGGACTCAATTTGCAGCCTCTCCCCTTCGGTGTTCATGCCATGACGTGGGGTTACAATAGGTGGAGGGCATAGTCCTTGGAACACGCCAGTCCAGAGACAGTTTCTTAATGCTTCTGCTTTCGAGGCTGAAGCTTTCACGTCGTGCATAACATAAATCCACCCCTCTCAGGAACCGCTAAGAGCCATCCAGAACCCGATAATGCCATCCGGTCAGGTATACCCAGAAGCGTGCCTTCGCCTGCCGGAAGGGAGCGCTAGCGAGGGTATCCAGGTTGAATTACGCTGGATCCTAGCGTATGAAGGAATTTTAGGCAACGAGACCGCCGACATGCTTGCAAAGAGGCAGCCACTACTAAAGACACAAACATCCATCATACCAATGTTAGTATTGACCACAACCGTTATATTCGACTCGCAGCCGCAGCGAGGAAGGGTATCAAGAAAATCGACGGTCGCGTGGGAGAAATCGTGATCGAAGGGAGGCAGGACTGCGCGGAGGACTAGGAGGATGATCGATGTTCCGAACAAATCGAATTTGCTGTACTGGAAAGGCCTGCGGAAAGCAACAACATCAGTTCTGATCCAACTCGACATAGGTATCATCGGACTAGCTGAATACCTATGCATAATCAGGCGAAAAGACTCACCGTGTTGTCAATACGACCTAGAAAACCAAAGTGTGCGACACGTTTTGCTGATGTGTCCACTCCTGGAAGAGGATGGACTTGCATACTGGGGATGCACCACCATTTGTCGTCGGGAGCGGGCTCTGGGACGCAACCCCTGAATAGCAGCATGTATGTAATAGCAAAATAGATCGGTTCAATTAATTCATCATTACCATCATCATCGTAAAGAAAGAAAGAAATACTACTGAAAGAGCGCTTCAAACTCCACTGCCGCTAGAAACAGGAAGCCATGTAAGCTCTGTTGAAACTTCGAAAGCTCCGAGGCATTGCTGGAAGTTATGGAGAACTAGTCTCTGGGAGTGCAGCATTCAGCCTTGTTCAAATGAAAACATGTATTCACCGTACTCCAGGCGGCGCGGCATGGTGGTTCATTCTCGCTTTAGTAATGTCCCTGGGAGTGGAGTTATTAGCTTGCACAAGAGGGCAGAGGTACGTTGAGAATGATGTGTCGTGTGTCGTGTGTCGTGTGTCGTGTGTCGTGTGTCGTGTGTCGTGTGTCGTGTGTCGTGTGTCGTGTGTCGTGTGTCGTGTGTCGTGTGTCGTGTGTCGTGTGTCGTGTGTCGTGTGTCGTGTGTCGTGTGTCGTGTGTCGTGTGTCGTGTGTCGTGTGTCGTGTGTCGTGTGTCGTGTGTCGTGTGTCGTGTGTCGTGTGTCGTGTGTCGTGTGTCGTGTGTCGTGTGTCGTGTGTCGTGTGTCGTGTGTCGTGTGTCGTGTGTCGTGTGTCGTGTGTCGTGTGTCGTGTGTCGTGTGTCGTGTGTCGTGTGTCGTGTGTCGTGTGTCGTGTGTCGTGTGTCGTGTGTCGTGTGTCGTGTGTCGTGTGTCGTGTGTCGTGTGTCGTGTGTCGTGTGTCGTGTGTCGTGTGTCGTGTGTCGTGTGTCGTGTATGTTGTGTGTGTGTTGATCGGAGCTAGCCTGACTCGGAGAAGTCCTGGAACAGCGCGGTAGCTCTTTGGAGGCGTGGACATGATCTGCTGTAGGCAATATGACACGCCACGCACGCATATTCAGTCAGCTCCTGTGCGCATGACGGGCTTTATTTGTTTTTGAAGCGCGGATTAATTGGTTGTTTCGGAAAAAAGAGTACTGCTATTTAGACCATCGCGTTAGCATGTCACTTGCTCGCCATAAGAATAATGAGTTAAAAGGGAATTGAATGTGGGTTCGTCCTAGCTTCCCTCAAAAGGCATGGACCTTGGAGAGGTACTGGTCACCAGCACTGCGCAGAAGTGCAAACCCATCAGTGGTGCACCACCCCCGAGAGGGCGGTGCCCAAGGAGACGCAAGCACCTCCTTGGGATGTCTGTGGAGGAAACAAGGTGTGATCAAAGTAAGAAGGGTGGTTGGTTTCCATCGCCCTTAGTTCGACCGCACCAGCAAAAGAAAGCGAAAACAAGCCGAAACAAGCAAAAGCCCACCAAAGCGAATACAACCACAGCTACCACTACCAATTAAGTCCCGTCATCACCCTGACGAGCAGGATAAGAAGCCTGACAAGCAGCATTGGAGACTTTCCCCCTATTGGCAGTGAGGCAATCTATCTGCGTCTGCTGCGCACCTTGAGATGCGGCTATCCCCTGCAGATGGTATATTTTGTCGTGTTACTACCGCTATGTCTTGCGTCCGCATACATAGAGCCGGAGGTGTGGAACAAATTCGAGCTTCAGCAGAGAATAGCATCATCATAATATCTTTTTGGGTATCTCCTTCTGTTGCCTTATTGATAGGGGGCTGTAGTAAGGGCGGGCCTTTAGATCTGAATCGGTTCGCTTTTATCTCTGTGTAGAGTAATGACTCAACAGGGATTCCGAACTCCGGTCCATAGTAAACCCTTCTCATGGCAAGCTGTAGATGCACGAAGTGGAATTTGTAAAAGGTATATGATGAGTAATGAGCGAGGGGTAGATGTCTTATAAGGTACCAATTGGTAAAATTTAAGGCATCTGTGCGGTGGTTGATCATGGGATGATAGCAGCTTGGCAGCCCAGCCTTTTTCCACAAATGAAGTCGAAGGCAAATAAAGCAGAGATGGTACTGTGGTAGGTCGCAAGAAATCCGAGATAACAGCTTGATACGTGCGTCATCATCCGTGGGCTTTCCGGTACGGCAGTTTGAGAAGTTCTTAAAAGCAGACCCAGCAAATGAATGCAGCAGATGACGATTCCCTAAGGCGAGACAAGCAAAGTCAACTGGTGATAAGTATTCAGAGATCATCCATAATAGCTCAAGTGGGAGGTCGGTCAAGGCTGTTGGGTTTCGCATGGTGGTAATCCTGGTTGCCACGGGTATCTACCCCAAGCTATCGCTTCACTTGATATCCGAGATGCCAAACAGTCGCTTGGTATTAAAACCGACGGAGGTAAAAGAAGGAAAGGTGATCACTGGTCCTGTCCCGAGGGGAAAAGCATGTTGAGTGCAGAAGGAGAAAAGAGGAGAAGGATAGAGAGAAGAGCAAGGTTCCTAGTCAAACGATAACTACCGCTCTTAGAGGCGACGGTTTGAACGTGGTTTTGAAACTGTTGTCCCGTTTGACCCCTGACGTCAAATCGCATTGTCCATCCATTAATATTCCATAAGGTGTATGACGGGGCCGGATGGGATGGCCCAGTTTTGGCCTGATTCAAGGTAAGGTGTTGGAAATCACCGGTATTGCAATGTATGGTTCAAAATGACAGATGTGTATGACTCTAACTAACTAAAATGACAAGAATCCCCTATTTGACAATTTGCTGGGGTATAACTGACTAAGCTTAATATGCAATTTGTATAGGGCCCACTATCATAGCGGTCTATGTATTTTCCGAGGTGTTAAATACTTAGGTTCCTAGTCATGTATTGTAATATAGCTTTCGATATACCCCCTAGTTTTTAAAGGTATTCACAGCCTTTAATAACTGCCTTTTCTCTCAATTTCAGGATGATTTTCATCTTCTAATTCCTCTATTTCTCTATAATTAGTAGGATTAACCTCTGTTTTCTTAGTTAATCCGCTTACTAATATCTCTTATCCTAAGGAGGACTCGAAATAGGTATTACTTTTACTTTAGTAAGTTCTTTATAAGGCTATCTACCAGTATATTAGTAGTTAGAATCTAATTAATATAGACTTAACCTTTACTAACCTTCTATTTTATCTAGTATCAGTTAATATTTATATACTATAGCTTTATATATATTACTACTCCCTCCTTTATTAATAAATTAATAGTTTATTAGTTATTATATATAATAGAGAGTAGATAGTTAGGTTTAAAACCTAAGGATTTAAAGACTTAACGCTATTATTAGATAGTTTTACCTACTTCTGCTAATATAAAAAGCTCTGCTTCTATAGTAGATATAGTAATAGTCTTTTATTTTATTACCTTCTAGTCTATAGGGCCTTTATATAGCTTATAGAGGTAACCTTTAGAACTCTTTCTATCGCGTTTATCTTTAAATAAAGCGTTATTTATAAATTTAATAGATTTCGCTATAATACTAAGGCCTATTTTAGTTATTATATAGTTTCTGATTCTATACTTAATAGCCTAAAACCTAGTTTTATATAGGTATTAGATAATCTAATCTATAGTATTAATATACTTAGGACTAGAATTTATTAGGAATTTAGCTACTTTAGAGGTTACTTTTATAGTATTTAGTCTTATAATAATAGTAGTATACTAAGTAGATCCTACTTTAGCCTAGAAACTATAAATCTAACTTAGTATAGCTATTCTATTATAGAGGACTAGAGGTTTAATTCCTAGTAGTAATCCTATATTTCTTATAGTAATAAGGTTATATTTTATTACTATACTCTTAATATAGCTATCTTAATATAATTATAGTTTCTTCTAATCTCTATCTTTAATAATATAGATATTTAAGAACTAACTAATATCTAGTTCTTTTAATTCTTACTATTTCTTAATATCTAGATCTAATTATATAGCCTTCTTAGTATATATAAGATCTAGATAGTTAATAATAATAATATTATCTATATAGAAGAAGATAATAATCCTATCTATTATAAAGATATAGGGATCTTTAGGGATAGGAATTAGGCCTAATTTAATTAATACCTAGGTTACTTCCTACTACTA